TATCTTGTCAGACCTCAGAACAATCTCTACCACAGGGCTATGCTGTTCTGATCTGAGGCACAGATAAATTAAACAGCTTACTCAAGGTCACACAGTATGTGGCAAAAGTGGCCTTTAACCCTAAGAAATTTGAGACTAGAGCCATTTTCTTCCTAAAAAAATTGTAGGGGAGGTTGGGCTGCCTCCTGTTGAGACCTGTCTGTTCCTAGCCTCGCTGGGTAGATCCTGTTGGGTCCTAAGCAGAGAGCTCTAAGCAAATACTGCAATTCTCATTTGTAGAAAGCCTCTGTCTCCCATTGGTGCCTAAGGCGCCTGTCCAGGAGTCCTCAGCAGACCGTATCACGAACAGCATTGCCTGGGCCAGCAGAGAGACAGCTCTGCTCCTGGGTGGATCTAGGTGGGGATGTGCCCTCATTTGACCTCACAGGCTGGCAAGGCCTGGGAAATGTCAACTCACACTTGCTGCCACAGTTTTCAAGGAGTTTCCTTTGCCTCCAGTACACTCTACAAAGTGCATGCTGGGAGTGGTGTTTTTGCTCCTCGTGGCCAAGTCTCTTTAAGATGTACTTGGAGGGACTTGGGAGATCATAAACAGCCACAATGGAAAAGAAAGCTTTTTTTGTTTTTATTTTGAGATGGTCTCACTCTGTAGCACAGGATGGTCTGGAACTCCTTACATAGTCCAGATTGGCTTGGAACTCATGGGAAACCTGTCTCAGCTTCTCAAGTGTTGGGATTACAAGTGAGAGGGAGCTACCATGCCTGGTGAATGTTTTTTTTTTTTGGTCTTTTTGAGACAGGGTCTCCCTGTAGCCCCAGCTGTCCTGGAACTCACTATGTAGAACAGGCTGGCTTCGAACTCACAAAGATCCACCTGCCTCTGCCTCCCAAGTGCTGGGATTAAAGGCGTGTGCCACCACACTTGGTGAATGTCTTCTTTTTATAACTGTGAAATCAAGGATGAAAGTAGAGGTGGGGATCCAGGTGTCACAGTGTGCACCTGTAGTCCCAGGGCTTGGGAGACTGAGGCAGGGGGATCATTTGAGCCCACGGGCTGGAGACCAGCCTGGGTTATACAGAGAGGAGAATGCCTTGGCCAAGTTTACAAAGCTAAATTTCTAAATACTTACCCATATTTGCTGAGGGCTCACCTCTGCCCTTTCTTCAGCCTACAACTGTAGCAACAGACCAGGAAGTCTGTAAGAAATGCAGACCCTCTGACCCTCATAGACTGCCGAATCAGCTGTTACAGCAGTGGACTCACTGTTCCCAACTGCTGCCTTCCCTGCTGGGATTGGAAGCTCTGTGCAGGTGGCATCCAATGACAAGGTTTGCACTCCTATCCTCTCCATGCCTCACAGAGCTTTCCTTACATGTAGATAATCTGCAGGTGTATGGGATAGAAAAGGGAGCTGGAAGCAGATGCTGGGGATTGTACAAATCTAAGTATGTGATAAACGATACAATAAATGGGGGAACTTGGCTAACTAGTCGAGGTCCTCTGGGATGAACTCCTTGCCCTGAGTAGATCTCAGCCTAGGAGCCATCAGAGCATCATCCTGGCACCTTCCTGTTGGTCCCCAAACTAAACTGCAGTGTATACATCTGGCTGGATTCAGGGACCCAGGCCCAGGTCCCACATGGGGGGTGGGGGTGGGTGGGATGCCTCACCCTCTCTGGGACTGTGTGAACTCAAGTTCTGGCTTTGTGTCCTGTCTCCTGTTATCCTGATCATCGCCAAAGCAGCATGAATGGCCACCATAATCACTTCTTTTTCTTTGAGACAGAGCCTCACTATATAGCCCAGGTTGGACTCAAATTCCCTATTCCCCACCTCAGGCTTCCCAGTGTAGGGGTTATAGGCATGTTACCCTCCCAGGTATGAGTAATGCTTAAAAACCATTTAATTTCAGTCACTTAAAAACTTGTGTGTAGGAACCAGAGATGTGGCTCAGTGGTTAATGAGCATTGGCTGCTCTTGCAGAGGACCCTTCTGCTTCTCAAGTAAGTGCTGGAATTAAAGTATGCCACCATGCCTGGCTGGACACTGAGGCTTTTTTTTTTTCACTTTTATAACTTTGACTCTCAGCAGTTAGTTCTCATCCACATTGAGAGTCTGTAGATTTTTGAATGTGGTATCAGGGACATAGGTTACCAAAGTATACAGCTTGTTTGGAAAACCCTCATCCTCATTATGTTTTCTGGACCAACGAACACGGATACGATATGGAACATTGCTTATTCCTTTGGCCCAGACAGCTTTGTTGAGCCCAGCATCAACGTGCACATCTGAAGTACCCATCTCCATCACGGCAAATTTCTGGATTTGCATGCCTGAGGGGCACATTTCTTGAAGCCCACTCCATAGATGTGTTTGTGAATGTTGATGGTGTGTTCCCAGGTCACCACCTCGTTGATGGCAGAACGACCCTTCTTCCCACCACCCTTCTTTGCGGGAGTCATTTCACCCGGCCAGAGTTGGAAAGCTACACTGAGGATCTTGTTCCCTCTCTCCATGCCTGTCAACAGGGGACAACTAGCTGAGGAACCGGGAGGTATAGAGGAGAGAATGTGTTCTGGAAATTGAAACTTGCAAGGACTGGGGTTGGGGGCTGGTCCCCACTATTTTGGTTTGCTCTGCACAGCTGCAGAAATTGGGCCCTTGGCTCAGAGCACCCAGGACCTGAGAGCTCTGCAACCACAGCACCATGAGAGGCCCAGCCAGGGTGTGGACCCTGCTGTGTACTGGCCTGTCTCTTTGAACCCCAGCTGGGAGGCCACTAGGGACTGTGGTGGCTGAGCAAGAGGTTGTCAGAGCTCTGTGGGGTTTCTGCCCAGGCTCCCACATTGCACCCCCAGGCCATGATTTCTCTGTCTAGAGACCTCAGCCAGAGTGGGAGCAGCACTGGGAGGCCTATGGCAGTCCCTGGCAGTTGTGGAGCTGGGGGAAGAGCCAGGCCTGGGCTTCTGGAGCCTTCTAAGGATAGGGTGGGCCGGGTGGCTCAGAGCAGCTCCAGGCTGCTGTGGGAGGTGGAGGCACAGCAGTTTCTCAAGAGCAGGGGCCCTGGGCCACAGCCCCCACTTCCTCTTGTGGGGAAAAGCTGCAGCTCGGCTATGCTGGTCGATTCTGCAGGCTGCCTGTCCCTGGGGCCTGCTGAACAGGTCAGAGCAGGTGGCCCCTGAGGCTTTGGAAAAATGGGGCTGGGAGAGGATGTGGGATTGTCTAGGGAAAGGACAGAGATTCTTGAGCACACAGACCTGGATTGCATATAATTTATTGTCTTAACTGACACTTTTGAGAATGAAAGGGAGCTGTGTTAATTACATGGGGACAACAGATGCAAACTGGGACTCTCCAGGCAAATGGAGACCATGCTACCCTACTTACCACATTTCCTAGCTGTGTGGGTTTTGGCAAGTTACATAACCTTTCCGAATTCTGCTTTCTACATAGAACAAGGATATTATGATGTGCTGCTTCCCAGGGCTGATGGAGGGTGAGTGGACTGCATTACTGAACTCCTGGGCTGCTTTGGCAGAGTCTCCATGCTCCTGTTCCTCTTGAGGTCATTGAGGGTCACTTGTCTCTGAGGTGAGCAAGGGCTCACCTAACAGCTCTCGGGAATATGAGGGCCTCATGGGAATATGCACAAGACAGAGAGGTCGCGGGGTGCTGGTAGAAATGGGGGAGACCTTCTGAGGCTCTCCTGTACCTAGGGGAGGGGGAAGGTCCCAGGGTGGACCTTTCCTGGTTGACCTGTTTCCTGCCTTCCCCAGGTGGTCCTGTGCAGAGCATCCCCATCAGGGCCTAGCCTAGAGCAGCTATCCTGTCACCTGTTTGCCTACCTGCTTCTTCCCTCTGGGGTTGCCCATACAGAAGGGGCATTTCCTGGGCTATCTGGTCAGACTGGAGGCCAGGTTGGAATGTACTTTCTCTGCCTGCTCCTGGGCCTGGAGAAAGAGCCTATTCCAACCTAGACTTTTTTTTTTTTTCCTGAGATTAACGTGAAGCCTGGATCACATTTGTCCAGGATCTAACAAGTGGCAGAGGCTGGGTGAGCTGCATTGTCCTTTTTTGTTTTTGAGACAGTCTCCCCGAAGCCTCCACTGGCCTTGATCTCACATGCCTCCATCTCCTGAATGCTGGAATTAAAGGCATGCACCACCCACGCCCGTTTTTTTTTTTTGAAATGGGGTCTCATGTGGCCCATGATGGGGATGAATTCACTACATAGCTGAGGATGACCTTAAACTCCTATCTTCCTGGCCTGGTGCAGATTCCCTTGAGATACAAAAGGCAGCAGCAGTCCAACTGGATGGGCCCTTGCTGCCAACTCAGGGAATTCTGGGGTTTTGTTGGACCCACAGCTCTCCAGGTACCCCTGGCTACTTGGTCTTCCATTCCCTCTTCATCCTTAACTAGGATCACTGCTTGCCAGTTCTATTAAGCAAACAGCCCACAGCCAGCTCATCTGGCCAGTTTCTCCAGTAAACAGAGTTGAAGGCCCCAGGTGGCAGTTGAGGTAGCAGGAAGTAGGTAACCTCTCAGTGTAGGTATGCCCACCCAGTCCTGATAGACAGTGGCCTGTAGTCAAAGGTAACACCTCTGGCACAGGCAGTGCTTCTAGTTCCCTCCTCCTGAGTGAAGTCAAGGGGTGAGACATCACACAAAGTACAAACAGAGGGGACACCAATATTTAATATATTCTTGCTAACGAAACCTATCTGGCTATTTTCATCCAGTATGGACAAGTTTTTTGTTTTAGTTTTAAAAGATCATGTCTCAGTGGTTAAGAACACTGGTTGTTCTTGCAGAAGACCCAGGTTCGAATCCCAGCACCCACATGGCAGCTAACAACTGTCCGTAACTCCAGTCCCAGAGGATCCGACAGTTTCTTCTGACCTCTGCAGGCATTGCATGACATGGATGCACTTATCTACATGCAGGCAATACATGTATACACATAAAATAAAAATTAAAAAAAAAAAAAAAAAAGAAAGAAAAAGATCATGCCTCTGTTTCCCAGGCTGACCCTGAACTCCTGGGCCAGTGGAGTCAGTGGGATCATTAGCTTTATGACAGCATCTCCAGCTTGATGGACAATTCAACAGGCAAAAGAATGGCACCTCTGGGAGCTGGAGAGATGGCTCAGCAGTTAAGAACACTGGCTGTTCTTGCAGAAGACCCGGATTTGAATCTCAGCACCCACATGGCATCTAACAACGGTCTGTTAACTCCAGTTCCAGGGGATCTGACAGCCTCTGAGATAAGCCTATCCACGCAGCCTTTTTTCTGTTGTCTCCTGTGCTTTTTCTTAATGATTTATAAGTATTCTTTGTATAGTATGAAGACTGTTATATAATATCTTCTCTTCTATTTTTTGTCATTTGTCTTTTGCTTTTGTTGAGGCTGCCTCTTGTAAGAGCTCTGCAGGTTCACAGTGGCCTGTGTTCCTTTTCTTCTGGCTTCAGGGTTTCATATTACACTCTGGAGTAGATGTTTCAGCGCTGCTTCCGATGTGCCAGAAACAATGGCCACCGCACATGCAATGGCAGCAAAACATGCTACTCAAATGAAAGTGTTTATTTAAAAATAAGAACTATCAATCCAAGCACACATTTAAATATTAATAGATAGGAGTAAAAATCTCAAATGGTGTAACAAGATTAACAGCTTTATAGTCACAGATGGTCAGATGGTGACAAACAAGAAGATCTATGTACACTGAGAGGACTGTTAGGAAAACGCATACGCCGGCCTGAGGAACGCTCTATTTATAGGCTTTGGTGGAGCCATAATCCCCAATTTTCTACTGGCTCCCGATGTTGCTTGAGAACCATGTGAGGCTGAGCTGGATCCAATTACACCAGAGGATTTACTTTTAGAAGACATTTTTGTGCACGTGGTAGACCCCCTAAAATGGGACAGAAAAAAGAAAATTAAAACTGTATGAAACCAAGTTAACAGTCCCTGTCTGTTAACGTGCTAGGAGAACAACCGTAATTTTCCTTGGTCTTCTATTTGTCTGCATTTTCTGTCTAGAAACCCTGTGGGGAGGGTGTTTCTTTACCCCTCCACAAATAAAGGATTGTTGCCCACCACACAAAGTTGCCCTGAATTTGGTTTTCTAAATTGTCAAGGATTGCTTCTTAATTGTGTGGCCTGTCACCAACTACAGACCCTCTCTCCCGACACACCTTCCATAGCCTATCGTCAGAATCCTCTGGATCTATTCTGACTAAATAAAGGAAGTGAAACATCTTTTAAAAATAAAAGTTCTCAAATCTCTGGCCACCAGACACCCTAGAATTATTGCACTGGCACAGTCCTGACTGAGCAGCTTTATGGGCAGCTTTATGGGCAGAGCCCTTGTGTGGCTCTCTCTAGTCATACTAGTCTCAGGAAGGCTACAGACATGGCTCCCTGGGGAAGGCTGAGCTGCCTCATGCAGTGGTCTGGCATGTGTCAGGGCCATGCAGCCAGCAGCTCCCCCAGCTATACCCAAAGACGTGCCAGCAATCTCCTCCCACTTGGTGCCTCTTTCAACCAGAGAGACTATATGGTGGCCTGAGCTGAGTTGGGCCTAGGCCTGCACTTCTCTTGCTGACCTGAAGATAAGTGTTCTTCCCCTAATAAAACACAAAGCAAACCATCCTGCCAGCTTGTTTACAATGACAGCAGGTAGCAGCACCCCCACAAGCCTCTCCTGAAGTAGTGCCAGCCCAGTGAGGACCACCATCGATCGGTTCAAGAGCCCAGGGTAGTCAGGGGCCTCCTAGGATCCCAGGCTCTGGGCAATGGCATTCTGGTGGGGCTGGGTAAAGAGTTTTTCAGCATTTGAAACCTTTGCTGGAGGGAAGGCAGTTTCTCTGCAGGTCTGGCAGAGAAGCAGCCTGAAGTTTCCCTATGCTGATTTCCTGCTGAGAAATTAAGCCCTAAGCAAAAACCTGCTGTTTATGTTGATTTACAGAAAGAATCTGCCAACAGCAGCCTCCATTTCAAGGGGCCATCCATTTTCCTCCCACTCAGAAAGCCCAGAACACACCTAGTTCATTGTGTGCCATCCTGGAAATGTGAGGCCCAAGGGTCTGTTGGAGGGAGAGGGGCTCTGGCAAAGAGCCCCAGGCTTTCTTTCACTGCATGGTGGGCAGGTTGGGTGATGGAAACCTCTCAGGGTGGGCTGTGGGAACCAAGAGGACCGGGGCAGATATGAAGAGGTGAGTCTGTTGTGGTGAAAAGTGTTACGAGCTGACTAGTTCCAGCCAGTGAGCATTAAAGGAGAGTTCCTTCTTGAACACAGGCTAATTACAGCTTACCCTGGAAACTGGCACTGGTTTGGGACACTATGAGGTTGTTTTTGTTTGTTTTCTGAGCCAGGGTCTCCTCTAGCCCAGACTGGTCTCATGTCAATATGTAGCCAAGGATTACCTTGAACTCTCATTTTCTGCCTCCCATATCCCAGGTGTTGGGATTGTAGGCATGGCCCATCACTCTGGGCTTAAGTATGAGTTTTACTACTTACTAAATTAGATTCTAGGTGACAGAGCAAGAGCTTCATTCTCACAAACAAATGCTGTGAAAATGAAATAAAGGAGCCAGCAGCAAGGAACAGTATCATGTGGTCTGCTTTCTTCTAACAAGCAAAAGCCAAATGACAGCTCGCCCACATTTTCAAGGAGTGCCCACAGACATGCAGAAGTGAAAGTGCTTGGAGCAGCCCTGGCAGGCCAGCAGCCAATCCCACCTCTGAAACTGACCCGGCTAGGCTGGCCCTTAGGCGAAACCTTCCCACTCAGCCAGGCCAGTTTCCCCATCCTAAACCCGAGGGGTTGAACCAGAACAGAAGCCTTTTAAGGTCTCGTGCTGTTAGTGACTGAGGAAGTATTTCCCAAGGGAGAGCAGTAAATGAAGGAAATGAGAAAATGTCCTCACTGAAGAATATCTGATGGTCACTTGCGCACTAAAAACCACAAAATTAAAGCAACATTTATGAATGCCTTTAATTTCTGTGCTCTGGCAGAGAGATTAGCACATGGAAGAAGTTTGTTTATGGATTTAACAAGAAATGACAATTTGGTAACATCACCTTCCTTTCTCTCACCCGACTCAATCTTGTTTTTTATCACCCAGAAGGAAAAACTGCAAAAGCAAACACAACAGCTTGCAAAAGTTGACTGCAGCCTTGTTTTCCTTTTTCTAAGCAATTCTGTTATAATATGCAGTTATTTGGGGATCACACACTCCACACTGAAGGCATATACACAAGGCAGAAGGTGGAGGGCTCCTGGCAGAGGTTGGGAGAAAGGGGTTGTTGGACATAGTCCAATGACAGAAAGCAAGCTGCCAAGACCTTGCCACCTTGCTCCTCCCTGTGTAGACATGTCCCAGTCCAGAGTCAAGCAGAGGGAAGGGAAGACAAAAGCCACCAAATAGCTTCTAAAGAAGCCTGGCTTGCCTGGCTTTTGCCTTTCCAACTGTGGTCTCTTAGCTACTCTGCCAAGGCTGGGAGGCTGAGTCTTCAGGGCTAAATGGCAGGGAGGTTCTATGGATGATGCTCAGCTGGTAAAATGCTTGCCTACACTGCAGGAAGCCCTGAGTTTGATTCCCATCACTGCATAAACTGGGCGTGGTGGCACTTTGGAGGCAGAGGCATCCTTGGCTATAAAGTCATCCTTGACCTATATAGTCATCCTTGGCTATAAAGTGTGTTTAATGCCAGACTTGGATACATGGGACCCTGTCTTAAAAAAGTAGCAAGGAAGCCTGCAGAATCCTGCAGTCACAGAGGTAGTGTAGCAAGCACTAGCAGACTAAAAAAAAAAAAAAAAAAAAAAAAAAAAAAAAGCCTGGAGAACACCCAGCCCTCTGTTATTTACTCAGTGTGTGGGTTGTATCTTCGGTGGAAAATTACCTTAGGAAGAGCAATTATCCAAAAGCAAACAAACAAAAATTCCAAGGTAGGGTCAAAATTGGCGAAGATTTGTAAACTAAATTATTTTTAAAAAAATCTAAGGCAATGTTTTTATTTTGGATTAGGCCTCAATCATCAGGGCATTAACTAGAGATGATTTAAGAATGGCTAATTTTAGATAGCTGGACGTGGTGATGCACACCTTTAATCCCAGCACTTGGGAGGCAGAGGCAGGTGGATCTCTGTGAGTTTGAGGCCAGCTCCCAGAAAGGGGGGGTTAAAGGGAGACCCTGCATCAAAAAAACCAAAAAAAAAAAAAAAAAAAAGAAAAAAAAAGAAAGGCTAATTTTAATAAATGCTTCAAAGCAAACCAGAGCAGTAATACGCCCTCTGTTTTTTCTTCTCTTACATCCTATGCTATAAAAGACATCAAAGAACATACCCCTTTGCCTTGAAGCCACCGTAACTAGTTCTTCTCCTCTTAGGCCTCTGGGAAACAGGCATTTTCCTTCTCTTTCTTTCATTTCTGGATTGTTTTGCAAAGTAGTGAGAGGACACAGGGGCACCCTCATCAAGCTCGTCCGGCATGCTCCTTCCAGTGCCTCTGCTGCCTGCTAGGTTTATGCCAGGGGAATTGTCCTCAGCTACAAATAGGAAGTGCAGACATTTACAGGTGACTATGTGTTTGCAGGCCAGTACTAGCTGCTCTTGCTGTTTCATGGATTCAACACCTCAGCAAGAACCAAACATTTCTACTGTGAAAAGCTCCAATGTACTCAGTGGCAATTTATTTTTAATGAAAGAAAATAAAAATTCATTACTTAAACATTCGTGATTGTCTTTAACTAAACTGGGATGTCAGTTCAGCTCCTGTTCTGCTTCACATAGCCTGTGTCCATTTTGCTTTGTGCAGTTAGGCCTGGTAAGTGGCATAGAGACTATTGCATAATTGTTAGGCAATTGTATTCATCATTTTAAACATGCTGAAAAAGCAAGTCCAATATAAATAAAGGCAACAAACTATGCTCTACCTCATCTTTAAACAATAGTTTTTTTAAAAAATAAATTCACCAGAAAATTCAAAACCATATTTTATTCTTCACAGACAAAAGCTACTTCTTTGCCTAATTGCTATGATCACTTTATATATGATGCAGGATACAGGCTGTGTGAAAGCTCACATTTGCAGGGGAGAAAGTAGCTGCCATAGTTATTTGCATCAAAGGCACCTCAAAGCCTGAGACCTCCCTAAGGTCACATAATGATCCTGGTTGGTTGGAAGGGCAGGAGGGCATAGAGCTCTGTCTACCCTGCGGTGCCTCATTCTCCTCAGCTGGAAAACAGGTGATAATGAAGATGAGGCCAAGCTCTTGACAGGCCAAGATGGTGGCAGAGGGTGCACATCAAAGTCCACCATGCTGCCAGGATGCTTCTCTTAGCGGCTTTGACTTGTGTCAGCAAAAGTTTCTTCCAAACTAGTTAGTATATGAACCAAATATAACTTCCTCCAAGACATTGTCAAAGATATCCAGGACATGGCTTTTAATGGAATAATTACCGTATAAAGGAATTTATGAAAACCTCACTTTTCAGCACTTGGTTAATGGATGAAAAACACTGTGGATAGACAGCCTGAATGAAATACACTTCCTTCTCACCCAGCTCACCATTTCCATTAGCCTTGATCAGACTCTTCTACTCTAGACCATGAGGGAACTAGGAAACACTGAACTTGGCAGGTCTGCTAGAGGTGATAACTTACTACAGGCATGTTAGTGGAGGGCAGGCTTCTGCCAGTTTCCTACAACAAAGTACTCCTTTGCTCTCAGTTTTCCTTGGCCAATGCCTTCCACAGCCCAGTGCTGGAGCTTGTGATGAGGTGCTGCAGGAAAGACCTAAAGCAGCCTTTGGGAACCTCTGCTAATGACACCCTCACTCGGGTACGCTCTTCCAACAACTAATAATAAGAGCATGCCGATGACATGTTCATTTTCTAAAGCATTTAAGCTGCACTCTTCTATTTTATCTTAAATGTGTGTGTTAAGATTACATATTCCTTCCCCAGAGAAGGACACTGAAGCACAAAGAGGTTGCTAGTGTCCTGCCTAGGATCACACAGTGAGATGGTGGCAGATCTGGGATGGGTCTCAGGGCTTGTGACTTCTTGGGCACTTGCCTTACCAGAACAACAAGGAGTAGGCTCAGAGGTTCCCATTTGCGCTCCATTAACAGGCTTAATAACTGGCTTCCCTGAAGACCTAAACACCAGTGTTCTCTCAGAGTATGGTGCCTGCCACACCATTGGGGGATGCTCTGAGGATTTGAACTTTTCAGTGTGACAAGGTGTAGGAAGTATCAACCACATAATTCTAATTCAGTGAGATATATCACTTAACATTAAATAGGCTTTTAGAAAACATGTTTGGTGGGATACTGAACCTGGCAATGTCCACTCTGAGTATCTCTGCAATACTGGAAGCATTTCTGCACCGTATTTTTCCAGCTTGTCTTCAGTAACACCATCAATCTGAAGCAAAACCTCAGGATCAGAAGATAAAGATTCTGTGTGTGGACATAAAATTAAGAATTTAAATGACCACTCATGGAAAACCCACTGAATTCATGCTCGCTCACTCAGTTCATGTTTGTTACATACCAACTACTGCTGCCTACCAGGCTCATGGGGAATTTTCTTTTTTCTTTTTTAATATGATGGTTATATATTATTCTATTGACAACTAATTTTATGTCTTAAATATTGACAACTAAATGTTTCAATATTGATGCACAATATTCTGATTTTTCCAACATCTTGGCCATTTGATACTATTCTTACACAATGCCTTTGTTGGTACATTGTACTCCGGTGACTTATAGCTTTTTCTTTTTTAAAAATATTTTCTATATTATTATTTATTTTATTTTTTGGTCTTTTTGAGACAGGGTCTCCCTGTAGCCCCAGCTGTCCTGGAACACACTATGTAGACGAGGCTGGCCTTGAACTCACAGAGATTCACCTGCCTCTGCCTCCCAAGTGCTGGGATTAAAGGCGTGCACCACCACACCCGGCCCTTGTTATTTTTATTTTATGTGTCTGAGTGTATTGCCTGCATGTGAGTGAGTGCACCCATGTCATGCAATGCTATGGAGTTGGAGGTCAGAAGAGGGCTTTGGATTCCCTGGAGCTGGAGTTAAGGACGGTTCATAGCCGCCATGTGGGTGCTGGGAATTGAATCCGGGTCCTCTGCAAGAACAGTCAGTGCTCTTAACCGCTGAGCAATCTCTTCAGCCTTTATTATTTTTATTTTATGTGTCTGAGTGTATTGCCTGCGTTTATGTGAGTGCACCCATGTTGCGGAATGCTGGGGAGGTCAGAACAGGGAGTTGGGAATCTAACCCCGGTCCTCTGCAAGAGCAGTCAGTGCTGTTAACTGCTGAACCATCTCTCTAGCCCCATCATGGGGAGTTTTCTAAAAGGCAAAGTTAGGCTGCCAAAGCAGCAGACAGGCCCAGAGGGTAAGAACCTGCCATCCAATTTCAGCAGCAGAGGCATAGACTCCAAGGCAGTGAGTGGGAAACAGCCAAGAGTCTGGGGGACGCAGTGGGTGGGACCTGTGCTGTATGCTCAGACTTTAAGCACACTCAGCTTTTGCCCACTGTCCCACTGCCAAGATTTGTCTAGCTGCAGACTGATGCCCCTGTATTTGTTGAGAACACCCACATTCTGTTTCTAGCTCTGATTCCTTCCCTGCACTGCACTGAAGACTTGCATACCCCACCCCACTGCTGCCACCCCCAGCCCTGGCTTGTGCCTCTTCCCATCAATGGGATGAGACAACAAGTGGGCAGTTTGGAGTCCTCTGCAGAGATGGCACATCCATCTTATGGCTGGAAAAAGCCTGTCATTTAAAGGTCAGTCCTGCTGCTGTATTAGAAAGAGTGGAAATGGGAGCTTAGTGGTCACTGCAGGAGGAAGCAAGTATGGAGCCAGAGGCAGTGCTGGAGATTAAGGAGGGGCTTGAATGTGTTCCAGAGGCCAGGAGTGCTGGCTTTGGGGAGTAAAAGGGTGTTAATCCCCATGTCTCTGACTTGAACAGAGTGGATTTCAGATCCTTTTTAATCTGTGATTTTCACCTCATTCCATGTTCAGAGGAAAGCGATAGACTGTGGGACAGAACAGAAGGTGTATGAAAGGGACTAGTGGGAGACAAAGTGGGAAAGGCAAATGGAAACACAGACACTCGAAAGAAGTTGTATTTTATCTAGAGAGCTGTTGTAGCTTTGGTGGTTCTGGAAAGATTAAAATGTGGACCATACTCATATCTGGAAGTAATGTAGTTAGAAAACTATGTTAACAGTCATTACCATTTTTTGCTGATTCTAATTCACATACTTTTTCAAATAACTAACATTTCTGAAGTCAAGACACATCTTACAACTGCTGCTGGCCAAAACAGCAGCTGTCCTGTGGTTACTACTGTCTGTGCATGTGAGAATTTACAGCCATTAATAATTAATACTGTCAACAGGTCAACAGAGTCACTGTTACTTGTACCTCAGAGTGAGTTTAACTGCATGAAACGCCATCAAAAAGACTATTAGTGGAGTGTGAAGATAGCCCAGCCAGTAAAGTATTGCCACACAACGTGAAAGTCTGAGTTTGGTTGCCAGCATTAATGTTAAAATTGGGCTTAAAGTCTCAGTGCTGGATCTCCCAAGTGGAGACAGGGAGATCCCTGAGGCTTCCTGGGTAGCTAGCCTAGCCTAATCAGCAAGCCCCAGGCAGGTCTTAGTGAGGGACCTTGTTGGGAAAAAAAAAAGGTGCATGGTGCCAGAGGAGAAAATACACTGAGACTTGTGTTCTGGATTCTACACATGCACATACATTCATATGCACATGACCCCCTCCCCAAACACATGTGCATGTACACACAGACTATTAACATCAAAAAAAGTTGTGGATGTAAAAAGGCAGTGAGATGGAGAAATGGGGAGTCAATCTGGCATTAATATTGTCTTTGAGAAATGACCACATTTCATAGTTTCCTTGCAAGCGACACCAAGTACTTTACATGACCTAAAAAAGAAGCTTAGAGTTGAAGAAGCAGTATTACATTTTTGTCACTGAGATGTGCAACCTTCTGTTGACACCTTCTGGTATCATCAAGAAAGCACTCCCATTAGAAGAGAATGGGTAACTCAGAATGGGGCAACATAATGGGGCTGTAGCTCAGTGGTAGAGCTAGTGCTTACCACATGTGGGTTCCCGGGTTAAACTCCCAAAAACCCAAACCCAAAACGGGAATGCCAGTGATGACACAAGGAAAAGCAAAGGCATAGGCAACTGAGTTCCAAAAGTGATTTGATGGTAGGAAAGGAACAGAACAGAGAGGCAATGATTATGAGGTTTTATGAAGGAAGAGCACAAAAGGTAACACAGCAGTCAACTGGGAGAATAACTTATTTTCCAGAGACGTTACTACTAAAATTCTGGGTTGACTATCTCAGCCTATGGAAATAACTCAGATCAGCAAGTATTTCTTAATTAAAGATACAGCAATATCTTTACTTACTTAGATCCAGATTCAAAGGAGCAGAAGACAGTTTCTTTCATAAGTTTAGCTCCTCATTGCAAAGATAGTTGTACAGAAATAGTTCAGCATCACGAGGAAGGCAAACGGCACAAATAATTGACATCTGGCTTTATAGATGGCAATTATTCATATTCTAACATCCAGCTTTACAGCAAAGCATAAATTAAAATTACAGCACATATCTGAAACTGTATATCTTAAAAAAATTTTTTTTGGTCTTTTTGAAACATGGTCTCCCTATAGCCCCAGCTGTCCTGGAACTCACTATTATAGACCAGGCTGACCTTGAACTCACAGAGATCTGCCTGCCTCTGCCACCCAAGTGCTGGGACCACAGGCACCTGGCTTTTATCTGAAATATTTTTACCTCAAGCTGGGTGTGGTGGTGCACGCCTTTAATCCCAGCACTCGGGAGGCAGAGGCAGGCGGATCTCTGTGAGTTCAAGACCAGCCTGGTCTCCATAGCTAATCCAGGCCAGCTGGGGCTACAGGGAGACCCTGTCTCAAAACAAAAAAACAATTTTTTTTTTTGCCTCAAGAAGAGCTTAAATGGGGTCTCTGAGTTTTTAACCCAGAGATTAATAAAGACAAAATGCAAAAAGCCCTTTCATAAGATGGACTTCTGGCCCCTGAATGTGGAACATGAAAGAGCAAGGCGGACAGGCCGTTACCTGCAAGCTTCTTGAGTGTGGCTGTATTAAAGATATTGAAGTAATGCACACCAAAGACTTTCCCCAGTGATTTGCAGACCTCTGTAAGCTCTCCAAGACATTTCTTAACCACCTCTTCCCTCTGAGAGACTTTGGCCACTAAAGTTTTCTGTTTTTTCATACTGCTGGAGTTTTCTGTTTCCATGAAGTCCACCTTAGTGAGAGAGAGAGGTCAGATGAGAGGGCAGAAGCACACTTGTACCCATGGACAGGCTTTTTTCAGTGTTTAAGTGATTTTACTCTTTGGTATTTCTTTAAAAATTGTATTATTTTGTGTGTGTGCGTGCGTGTGTGTGTGTGTGTGTGTGGGCATTTGTGTCACAGTGAATGTGTAGAGGTCAGAGGACAACTCTATGGAGTTAGTTCTTTCCTTCCACCTTTACATGGGTTCTGGGGGTCAAATTCAGGCCAGGAGGCTTGTATGCCAAGTACTTTTACTCACGGTTGACCTTTCTATTTCTTTTTCTTTTCTGCTAAGTAGACGGTAGGGGCCCTGCATTTTCCATCTTTCAGTCTCCAGGGCCTGTGTGTGTTTGCATGCCTGTGTGTAGACAGTTGTGAGCTGCCACGTGGGTATCAGAGCTGAACCTGGGCCCTCTGGAAGAACAGCAAATGTTCGTACCTGCTCAGGGATCTCTCCAACCCGCCAGACAATCTCTTGATAAATGCTATGTACTCATTTAACTAATTTGCATGTATGTGTGTGCCCTTGTGTGTGTGGCAAGACATGTATGTGGAGGTGAGAGGACAACTTTTAGGAGTTGATCCTCTCTCCTTTGACCAGGTAGGTAATGGGGATAGAACTCAGGTCCTGAAGCCTGGCAGCAAGCACCTTAGCCCACTGATCCGCCTTGTCAGTCCATTAATGCTTATTTAATAAACACAGGAAGATTTAGTGACCCAAATATCCATTAAATTAATTCTGACAAATGTCATATTAATTTGGTTCAATTTTAAGATCATTTTCCAATTAAGATCATATGTTCCTCTGAGAAAATATGTATAAATTTAGTATCCAAAAGCTTTGGGAAAGATAACAAACTTTGTCATAAAACATTCTGTCCACTCACTGAGATAGTGAAATACATATTTAAAATACCCTACCTTTAAATGCCCATTTAGCACGGTTTGGGCTTTAGCTCCTAGCATCACATATGCGATTGCTTGGTCATTGGCATTGATATATAAGTCTTCATCTAAAATCTTCTCTAATATCAGCTTTTTAAAAAGTCTTTCAGCATTGTGTCGTGAATAAGCAGATCCCTTTCCAAATATACCCGACTGAATCTTTGCACTTTTACTCCCTAATAAGGCACAAAAAGTTAGATAAGTAAGTACAGGTGCATCATCATTCATATGGAAAAGGCTTAAAAGTCATTCGAGGACATGTTTGGAGAAATAGAAGGGATCATAAACCCCAGAGCACAGACCCTCATTTCTCTATAATGAGTGTACCTGAGTAGAATGCTACGGTTTTTGTGGTTGCGTTTCCTTGTTTCTTTTTTCTCTTGGTGCTGGGGATAGAAGCCAGTGTCTGTATCCGCTGAGTTTGTGCTCTACCGCAATCCCTAACTATTTGTACTTTTTCTCATCTTATAATACACATTAACCAAAAACCACAGCAAAATTAAGCCTGTCATTTCAAAATGATGCATTCACACAGCTTATAAAAAAACCAGAACAATAAATAGTTCATATAAGTGCTAACAGTTTTGCACTACAATGCCTTATTGATAGTTACAAACCCACTTTTTTATTATTTTTATTTTATTTTTTTAAAAATATTTTTTTGCTTGCATGTGTATAAGTGCACCTGTGTCATGCAAAGCCCGAGGAAGTCAAAAGAGGGCATCAAATCCCCTGGAACTAGAGTTATGGATGGTTGTCAGCCACCACGTGGGTGCTGGGAATCGAACCTGGGTCCTCTGC